AACCACTCAGACGGCGGCAACGATAAGTGCCATAAAAAAGGTAAAATAAAAACTGAAAATAAACAAAATGGTATTTTTTTCTTTTGAATACAAGCGCCACATAAATATTCTTACTTTTTTATGCGAATGTGAAAAAAAAAATTATATTTCATAATGTCGGCGTATATGTACATGCGCCTGTGCAGCCATGGCCTAATACTCATTTGCACCAAATTACGTAATGTATGAGCGCGAAGCTTAGTGTGGAGCGTCTGTCACTTACACACATTAACGCAATATCATTAACATCAGACGCGAGCAATCAATGGGTTGGGTTTAACAGAGAGACGAGCAGAGAGACAACCAGACAAGCGTCTTTCCCCATCTAATATCATATTGAACCGCGTAAATTGCTTCATTTTGTTGCGGATTATGGCGCTTTAGCAGCGAAAGGTCTTTTGCTACGCTGCAAAATATCACTTTGTTAATGTTAACCGCGTGATAGGCGTAAAACAGCATTTCAACAACAACAAAAATAACGACACGTAAATAAGTATACAAATGGGCCACGGCGTATGAGTAACATTTTTCTCACGTATGGACATTAATGTGATTTTGGCTAGCTGTTGGTATGACATGGCGTATGAGTGTGATAATATTGTTGGTTGGCCTTTTGGTAGCATTTTTTGTTTGTTTGTTGTTGCTCTCATTTTCACATTGTTTTGCGTATTTACTTGTTTATTAACATCGCCGTGTCTGTCTTTCGAGGCATTTTGGGCATAATGTGGGTGCTCTTTTAATGGTGACGCTATTATTATGTGATGCGATTTTGCATTTTTTTATGTCTGTGCTTACTTTTCCAATAAACAGCAATGATTTATTTGACAGTCAAACGCATGTGAACTGCTTCACGCAAGTCATAGTGAACACAATTTTATGATTATAGAGGAACAGCTGCTTTTAATAGAGGAAAGAGCGAGCTTTTACGTCAAACCCAAATAAACAAAAATACGTGTAGAACAATAATGTATATGTATGTGGCTGTCATATGTTATAAAAAATTTTAAATTTTTATAGAAATGTAATTATTTTAAGTTTTACAAGCACAAAACATAGAAGCAAAGAACAGTTGGGTGAAATAAATTTTAGCATAAATTGAATGATGATCGCAGGCGTGGAAGCGTGCAATTTTTTAGCTATTGACCCAAACGGGACTACAAGACAGCGCTTAGCCGCTTAAGTGAATTCGCATACGACCACAATCATCACATGCGTACCCGCCAGTGAAAGAAATCTTCTAAACTTTGGCATTATCCGGCTGGTCATAAGTTACTCTACACCAATTTGTACATCAGGGACTAACCACCTCATGCCTCCGGTAAACTATTCACATAGCATTATGTTGCCAACGCAGTAAGAAGGAATTAAAGAAATTTTCAGTGTGCTGGTGACTTTCAATTTGTTTTTGTTAAATCTGAATATATCAAGTCATCTGAAATTACTTCAGTATTCTTTTTTTAATTTAGGATAATCGGTTCAAATGGAGACGAGCAAACGGAAGATAGACAGATTACAGACGTAATTCCGCCACCCCCAAAACAGAAATTTGAAATGTAATTCTCTTCGAGTTTTTTCGTAATATTCAGCCAATTCAAATATTCAGTGAATAACCAATTTCAGAAGGTTTTAGATCGGACATTTTTTTGTAGAGGACGAGACCCTAAAAGCTCGACCAAAATCACTGTAGCTCTGGTGAAGTCTAAAATTGACGTAGACCCACAATCGATACAAGAAATGGTTGCTAATGAATTTGGCTTGAATGCCATGGATTTATCGTGAATATAAAGTAATCACCTGGGATCGACGAATAATTCTGCTCGATGCGTGCGATGAATTCGAAATGAGGTCAAAAAAATGGGTCGATTGCATTTTTTAAAAAGCAAGATTTAGAGAATGTTTTCTGAAGTGGATCTAGAAAGACAAAGATTACGAAGTTATACAAAAAATATTTTTTTTTTCTGAACAAATTACCGAACTTTTGTTAGTCCCCTTGTATATAAATTTGTAATAAAAAATGCCATAAAAAATCAAATGGAAGTAGATACTCTCTGTTGATTTATACATTATATGTATATTTATATAAGTATATTTATATATGTATATATGTATATATGTATATCTTCTACATTCTTGTTTTATTAAATTTCGGTCTAACGCGCCGCCAATTTTATGGCCTTTTCAGCAATAAACATATAAAGAACACACACAAAAACATATAAATGAGTTACACATAATCAAAACTCCCAATCACCGCCATCGTAACAGGCACCCGTGTGTATTTCACGCATTGCCTCGTCCGCCATTCGTTACATTCGTGCATATATATGTACATAGATATACACATATGCATGTATTTTATTAAAAGAAACCTTTCTGTCTGCAAATGACATTATCGAATTAACATTAACATATCTGTGGTGTTAAACTCATGTGAATTATTTGCGCTTAATTCATTCATCCGCCAATATTTAAGTGCGTTTGCGCTTAGAGGCGTTATTACATTGTGCTTTTAATTTTTATTGCGCATACATAGAAAAGTGTGTTTAGTACGTACAGGTGAGTAGGTGTCTGTATATATTATATGTACTGCAAATAACTTATTAACATATTCTAGAGGTCCTCTCTGCCACATATTCATATTTTGAATATAAAATAAGGTAAAATAAAATGCTATAAATTTTCAACAAGTGACAGCTGACGCGCAAATGAAATTAGCTTTAATTTCAAAATTAACAACAGTTAAAGCACTTAGCTATCACATATACAAACATATATACTACGTATACATAAATTAATATGTAATTAGCCGAACGGCCGCTGGTTTTTTATCAGGAGGATTTTCAAGTCAGAAATACACATGGGTTTGGATGGTTGGTCAGACAATTGCTTGAGCTCTGGCCTATAGAATGGCAGATCGTAATGATAAGCACTCGGCCACTGCTGCCACCACAACGTGCAATAATTTAACCGAATAAAACCATGAAAGAGGTGATCCAAGTAGACGTACTTTTTCAATAGCTCATTTTGTTAGATCTCGCGCTACTCGGACCAAGCTGTTATGTTATTTGTTTAGTATTGTCTGTCATTATCATGGAAAAACTTACGCCTGAAAAACGTAAACAAATTGATTGAATGATTACGAAGAGAATGATTCTGAAGAGAATGTGTTTTGCTCAACTCATGGTCAACATAATCGGCCTACTAAGTATATTATTCTCAACACCGTCACCCATCTTGATGCTCAGTATTCATTATTGGATAATATTCGACCGCCGTAGCTTAGAGTGAACACGTAGGCCGTGGAGAGTCGATGCGGTGCCATACGCAATAACTCGGACCGATGTATGGAACGATTTGGCACATTTTTCATCGCGACCTTAAACTGACAGCATGCCAAATACAACTTGTGCAAGACCTGAAGCCGCTCAGCCCACCCAAGCAACATTGATTCGCTCTATGGGCTCTTGAAAAGTTCTGAGAAAATCCGACGTGTTTGATCCCAACTTAGTTCAACGATGAGCCCATTTCTGGCCGCATTTAGAAGGAAGAGCAACCTAAGGATATTGTAGACCTACTATGTCAGCCAGAAAAGTAACGGTTTGGTGTGATTTGTGTGCCGGTGCAATCATCGGCCATATTCCTTCAAAAATGATGTCGGTGAGAACATGATGCTGTCGCGCCATGATAACCCATTATTTGATCTCGATGACATTTGGTTTAAGCAAGACGGCCCCATTTCTCACAAATCGCAATAATGCATGAACTTATTGAGAGAACACTTCGGTGAGCAGATAATTTCTCGTTTTTGGGCCGGTCGATTGGCTACTAAGATCATCTGAAGTCACGTCATTAGACTTTCTCCAGTGGGAATATGTAAAGTCGAAAAAAAGCTTCTCTTTGGGCCTTGGTTCAAAATATAATGCGTGTCGCTCGTCAGTTACCCACGAGTTGAAATGATTGAACGATTCATCGAAAATTGGACTCAATGGACCATCTGAGACGTAGCCGAGGTCAACAATAGAAAGAGATAATAATACTAACAATAAAAGCTTCATATTGAATTCAAAATTTATGTGTTCTTTTCTTTAAAAAAGTAGGGAACCATACCAAAGAGGTATCAGCCCAATAACTGCCTCGGCTCCGCTTACAGGACCATATCCTTGTTATCAGATTTTCAATCACCAAATTGCAAAGTGACTACTTTATGCCATCCATAGCTTTATGAATAAATAATATATTGGAGGAGAAGCTCAGTCGAAAATCGTTTCAGCGGTTACAAGGCGCCTCCTATATATAAAGAAGGTCCTATGAATTCACCTTACCATAAACCGCACCAAACAGTGAGCCTCATCAGTCAAAATGATTTTTCGATGAAATTCTGGACCATTTTTATGCATTTGAAGGAGCCAATCAGACATGACACAACGTTGTTGATGATCAGCCGGCTACAGTTCTTCTTTAAACTAAACTTTATAAGTCTTAAGACCCAAGTTTTAATATAAAATATGGTGTAATGATGTTTATGGAACGACAGAATCGAAGGAACAAGGAGAAATGGACTACAACAGCAATATGCCCAGTTATTCTTGAGCGACGTTCACGTACTTCATTCTTCACATAACTAAATTTTCACAACAGCTTCATGTTTTCCACCAATTTCTGTATTGCGGTTCGAGAAGAAGCTTCAGGAGAACCAAAAAGGGTTTTAGTTTCACAAATAGTTTCATCCAGGTCGGCGCCATTTTAATAGTGAATTTTAAGCAAATCAATGCTGAAAATAAGCGCTTAAGCATATCAAGCGACATCTACCGGAAATGCAGGCTATTCAAAATAATACCTCTTAATGGAAAAATCTTTAGTTTTTAAGCACGTAGTAAAAATATAATGTATGCATATATGTATGTTTATAACTACAGTAAACATTTAAGGAAATTAAAACAAACTCTTTGCTTTGTACTTACAAAATATCTAAAGGCAATTTCACCGCGCAATCACGTAGCGATGACTGCTGCTGTTGTTGCTGACGCTGGTGTGGCTGTTGTTGATGCTGATGGTGTTGTTCCTGTTGTTGTTGTTGAAACGATCGATGGCTTTCTTGTTGATATTGTAAATATGATGGTGAATGCTGTGAATACTGTTGTTGATAATTGTGTTGTTGTTGATGATGCAACTGTTGTTGTGGTTGTTGTTGTTGCTGCTGCTGTTGTTGTTGAAAGTGATAACGCTGTTGTGTACTATGATATTGTTGCTGTGGGTGTTGTAAGAGATGCTGTTGCTGTTGTTGATATTCATCCGTATCATTGTTGCTGATGTTGTTGTTATTTGTCGCGCCGCTGCTTGCGCGCCTTTTAGCGGCAGTCATCAGTGGAAGAGAATACTGAGCGTAACTTTCGTTGAGGAGAAGAGAGATGCAAGGAGTAGCACACAGTACGATAATATGTCCAGGAGGGAAGAAATAACGTTTTTTGTTGGGGCTGCACCAAGATGAAATGTGGATATACAGCAAAGAAAAACAAAAAACGACAACAGTCAGAGGTGGGTAGATAGAAATTTTCGAACAGGCAATTAATTAAATATAAAATTGGCAGGCCGGTACAGTATGAAAAAGCGATTTATTTGATATTTTTCTAAATATAAATTGCTGCGCTGGCTGTGGCTCGTTTGAAAGTTGTTTATTGGACGTTTCTTGAGTGGGTGCGCGAATTTCATTCGATTTCTGTGCTTTAATTTATGTACATAAGAAAGCCCATATATGCTTCAAGCTTTAGCAGTTTGGGAGCTTTTAAGCTTAATTTTTACTCAGACAATACTTTACTGACCGACTTCAACTCAGTTTCTCCTCGTGCTTAATGCATTGTTTTTGCGTTGTTTTCATTAATGCCGTAATTTAATTTAAGTAATAGTTTTTCCGATATTTATTCTTTAACAGACTTTAAAATCAGCCTAATTACTGCTCTTTTAAATACTCGAGTGCTTGTTTCTTTTTCGCCATTTGTATACGCACTGAGCATCGATATGGCGAAAAGCTCTCAATAGAATCAGAGCTTTGTAATTGCATATATTTTTCGTGAAGCTTAAGAACCCGGCAAAACGTTTGTGAGTTAAAGTTGTTCTTAATGCCTTATTTACTACTTTTTTTCAGTGGATATTATCGCTTTTGGAGCTTTTTGCATCTTTTTTGATTTCACTTGTTTGCTAAACTAATTAATTTTCAGAGTTTTTTCTCGAGCACAAAGCTTTTTTCAAACTTCCATCAGAACTTTTAAAAACTCATAATACGTTTGGTGAGCTTTTAAGCTAATTTTCAGCTTTTTTAGTAATTTAATCTTACAATTTTTTATATTTTTTATTTTTCTTTAACTCTTGTTAGGCTAATGAGTCCTCGTATAAGCTTTCACCCAAGTGGCTTCTATTACATTAATTCAGGCTGTGCTGCTTTTTACGCAAGAAATGTTGTTCACATAATGTATCCTAACCATGCAAAATTCATTTTATTTTTATTTAATTAGGCTTTAACATTTTCAGTGAGCTTTCGTAGTTTTTAAAGCTTTTGTTTAAGTTTTAGCACTACAAATAATAAATATGTATAAGATTTTTCATGACTTCTGACAGAGACTTAGTGAAGCTTTCAAATGCTTACCAAATTTTCATGCAAGCTCAACGCTTCCAGAGCTTTCGCTGTGCTTTATGCCTTAAACCATCCACACTTTGCTCCAACCAAGCGCTCTATTTTCGAAAATTGTTTAGAATACTCTGATAGCCATTTAAATATGTGTTACCACAACTAACATTAATATGCGGTTATCGTTAGCGTTGCTTTTGTTGTTGTTGCCATTATTATGGTTAAGCGCTTCGTCAATTGTATGCCATCACTTTACACCGGAACTTAAGTGGCCGTTTAATTTCCGTCAACTATTTCCGCTTTGTAGCAAATTGCATTAATGACAGCGGCAGTAGCAGAAGCAGCACATCCAAGTCGAAGTCAATGTTGCAGACAACAATAGAAATTTGTTGAATAGCGCCCGTTATGTAGACTGTCTGATATCATGAGCTTTACACCATCAAAGTAGATAGAAGCACACAATTGTTTGTAATCTCTCAAGCTGACCTCAATGCACTTGTCTATCGATTAAATGTGTTAAATAGACATAAAACGAACGAGTGTGCAACTCATATGTGAGTCTTCGAATCTCTGGATGTGTGTATGTATGCGAAATTGTGCGCTGTGCTGGAATACGCGGGAAATTTTTCTGCTTTGCCTTTCGAATAGATGTTGTTGTTCTTGGCGCTTTATGCAATCAACTACTTAGTTGCTCTCCACTTGATGTTAAAACAGCGCGCTTTCACGCACACACACAAACGATTTTACTTAGGTAGTTGTCTTCACTGGGTGCAGACAAGCTTATTTTGATCCTTGCTGCTGTCGTTGTTGTTGTTTTAGTATTTCATCGTTTGTCTGTGAAGTCATTGTAGCGTATAATTAGATTTAACGCGCTTCCTTGTACTCGACTAGCGGTAGCGGTAGGTATAAGGATCGGCACTAATATACCCACAAACTCACACCACCACACACACTTACACACTTAAATAACACACACTTTGTAAGCGTCTATGTGGAAAATCTATGTTGATTTTATTCTATCGTTCAGCTAAAGCAGGATTTTAATTGCGCTGGGCATCCGGTTGAGGTCTTTTTTTTTTTTTTTTTTTTTGCTTACTACACTCTTTTGATCGTGTTGTTTCTGTTGCTGTAATATTGTTGTTTTCCCGCTATAACTTCCAATAATAGCACTTGTCGTTTTGTTGCTTGCTTGGGATTATGTTGCTTGCATTGCCTTGTAGTTGTTGTTTTTGGTTGTTTTCACCTATTGTTAAAATCACTCTACTTGTGTTTTTTCAACTTTTTCTTCGTCTTTTTTGTTAACTGTTATAACGGTTTTGTGCTTTCTTTTGCCGTAAATTCTTGTTGTCGTATTTATTATAGTTGTTGTTCCTTATATTGTTGTTATTTACAATTCTTCTCAGTCGATTTATTGCAAACAACTCTACTGTTGCTACTCCTTGAGCTTCGCGGCTATGTTGGCAACTCAATTGCTTCAATTTTGTTGCATTTATTGTTTTTTTCTTTTTGTTGCTGAATTTTTCTTTATTTTTCTATTTTCTCTTTTGCGCTCTCTGCTTTTGTCACAATATTACATTTTATTTGTGTTTTTGTTGCGACGTTTCCGCTGTCGCACTTTGTCATTTAAAATATTGCAATTCCACTGGTAGTTGTTGTTGTTGCACGAGAGGTTTTTTTGCTGCTACCAATGCTGCTGTTAATTTGTTGTGCTCGCTCTCCCTCTCTTACACTCTTACTCTCTTCTCCTCTTTTACTTCAGTTCATATGCATGCAATTAGTATTTGTTAGCTTCTATGCTGATATGAGTACCTCTTTTGTTGTTGCTATTATTATTATTTCTCTGATGTAGCTGCTCTTGTTCTGCATGCTTACTATGCGGTGCAGCGGTAAAGACATAACTTTTTATAACTTTTTTTTTGTTTTTTTGATAAAATAAACACAAACTGCCAATTATTTGCTTATAGTCGTACACGTATGTTTATGTATGTGTTTGTATGTATTTACGCTAACATAAACGGCTTGCTGTCGTTGTTATAGTTGTTAGCAATTTATTGGTGTTTGCTTTTTGTACTGTTTGCCTTAATGCAAAGTTATTTTTTACACTTTTCTATTTTAATTTTTTTTTGTAGTTGCACATCAAAGCGTTGCTTTGACTTTCCTGTTTTGTTATTCTTTTGCTTTTTTCTTAATTTTCGTTTTTATTTTTGCATAAACTGCTGATATGTATGTTTTTTTTTTGCACTTTAGTTCTAATGATTTTTTGAGAACATACCGTAAATTTGAAATAATTTTAACCGTGAGTAAATATTTTTTTGCAGTTTTTAGTTTCACTTATTTCCGTTAAAAAAAAAATTATATTTTAATACAAACATTTATATATAATTTTAATTCCTACAATCGCTTCTTAACCTATATTCCGCTTGAAGTGGCACTGTTGATATGTTTTGTTGAATTTTTTTTTTAATTTTTTTTAACGCATCAATTGCTCTTGATATTTATTTTTTTAATTGTTTGCAAATTACAAAGGAATTTTCCGACTTGAGAGTTGCGCGCTGAATTTCACTGCAAGGGAAAAATAAAATTAATAGAAAAATTATTATATTTAATTCTTAATTATTATCTCTGTTTTGTGTAAAATATTTTCTGAAAGTTTATTAAACAAGCATTACACATAAATTAACTAACATATATTCAAGCAAATATAATTTAAATCAGTGCTTTTTATAACATTTTTTTCAATTTTGGTTTTTTTTATTTTTATTTTTGTTCATAATGCTAAATGAAAGCTCTCTAGCTATGGGGAATTATACTTGTCGAGCTTTCACGATAACTGTTGATAGTAAGCTATACGCCGAAAGCTTGTGCAAAGCTCATATATAACAGGCTCATTTTAACAAAAATTTTCTGATGGGTTAGAGCCTCTGGAATTTCTTTAAAATCTAAAAGTTTGCTTTTCTTAATACTTTTAAATGTGATTTCACCTTTCAATTTAACATAAAAAACGTAGAAAGCGAAGCCGAAAACAATTCGTAATAAAATGAAAGTCTAATAAAGTGTATATAAAAGAGCTTAGCCAAATATCGAATAAACTCCTTAACACTCCTAATACAACTTTGCACCGGTAATTCTCCCAATCACCAACTCACACACCATTACAAAGTCGAAGGCAAGTACAGCTACACCAATAAAGCGAACTACAAATTTCCTGCATTCAAACATATTGACAGAGTCCAAATTGCATTTACACCAAGCTGGCATTTGCAGCTTGTTTGTCTCACTATCCTTATTGTTTGTTCCGTTTTACTATTTCCCCCTCTTTGATACTAAATGTACTTATTTGCCCTTCCGCATAAACACCACTACAAGCAAACCACACATTCATATATACATGAATAAGCACTCATCGAGCACTCAATTGTATCCCACGTTGCTGCAGTGACCGGGGCTGTAGGTGAACGAACGGAAAGAATGTACAACATAAAGTGAAGGCGTCGCAGACAATGCATTTCCGGCATGTCTGTTGCTAACTGTTAAACCAAAAGAGGCAGACACTAGAGCTTTACATTTTTATATATGGACATATACATACATATACATATCAATGTATAAATGTTTGTATGTATTTGTTACAGAAATGCCTATGTAGGAGTATTTTTAAATTCAATAGAGATTCCACTGTATTGTGTTGATCTCGTCATAAGTAGGCAATGTATTGCGGCATGCCCACTTGTGGCATTGCGCACTCAAGACATGACTTCAAACTGGCGCAAATATTTTTCGCTCTGCTCACTAGTCAATTGTAGATGCTCCGAATTGTAGTATTGAGTTTGTATTGAAGCATTGAACATTTACTTTTGATATTTGCCATACATGTATTTATCCTTTGTTATCCTAACAGACATAATGCTTTGTAGGCTTATCAATTGGCCTGTGGGTGCCATTCATTGTTGGAATTGCCATCGATACAAATATTCTTACTAGTGGACTTACATGTACGTACATAAGTAAGTACTATAAAATTTATGCTTGCTCTAAGGAACTTTTCAGTTGAATGCTGACTTCTTTTAATTTTATTTTTAATAATTTTATTTTTAATAATGAAAATTAAAAATTTTAATGAAATGTATACTGAAAATATTTTCAAACTGTGCTTTATGAATTTAGTTTTATTTCACTTCAATTCATTTTATTTAATTTTATTTTATTATAGCTAATTAGTTTCATTTATTTTACTTTATTTTGTTTTTTTTGTTATTTTATATATTTTTTTTTTAAGTTTTGTTTACTTTATTTGATTTCATTATTTTTTATTCTATTTTATTTGTTAACTTTATTTCACTTCATTTTATTTTAATTAATTTATTCTGTTTTAGTTTATGTAATTTTTTTAATTTTTTTTATTTACTTTTTATTTTTTTTATTTTTTTTTTCTTTATTCTGTTTTTTTATTTTATTTTATTTTTTAATGTATTTTTTGATTAAGTTTGTTTTATGTTATTTTATTTTATTTTATTTTACTTATTTTTTTTTTAATTTTTTTTTTATTTAATGAAATGCAATTTTTTTTAACTTAGTTTTATTTTATATAATTATTTTTTATTTATTTTTTCTAATTAAATTTTTTTTAGGTTAATTAAATTTAATTTATTTTAATAAATTTTTATTTATTATTGGTTTGTGTTACTTCATTTTATGTTGTGATTTTCCTTTTTATTGAAAAAGTTTAACCAATTTAAATTTAATATTAAATATTATTTAGTAATGCAAGCTCATACGCAATATTTGTGAAATTCTTCCGGAATTCGATGAAAAACTCACTCAAAATTAAAATAATTGTATAAACGTCAAGCTTTTCTTTCAGCCAACGCAAAATACGGACCATCACAACATGTTGAAACAAAATCTATGAAGACACCAACAACTCAGACGAATTAGGAAATTTTTCAAGTTAATGCTAACATTACAAAAAGAGAAAAATATATATACTATATATATTTACACAAATACATACTTGCAAATTACAAAATTAGTTTAGAGTATATAGTGGTCCACTTACCCACACTTTGACCACTAAAAAAGTTTTCAGGTCGAAATGTATTTGTATGCAATGTTGGTTGTGTGTGTTTGAATGGTGAAGAAGAACAAAGTCAGACCGCCAATCAACTACTATACTACATACATTTAAAACGCAGACGTTCTAAATTAACCAAGAATTCTATAAGTGTGATCCATCGCAAATGTTATGAGAAAAGTATTTGCCAAGCAGCCGGTCACAGACAGTCGCTGTCAGAGAGAGAGTAAACTGAATGCGCTCTGATGGCATGACACATAACTTAATCACTTAAAGCACGAAACACGCATTCTTGCCAACTATCCAGACTATCGCACTACAAACTGATCAAACTTCACCATTAGACTCGTCAATGCCAAGTTCTTTTGTACTCTGATGATGACAATGACAGTGAGTGTGGGCAAACACAATAATATATTCAAATTGCATGCAGTACTACCTGCAAGGTAGCCGAAATTAAAATTTAAGTTAAAATTAAATATTATTTTTTTTTTAATTAAAATTTAAATTTAAATTTAATTCACATTAAAATTTAAATCTAAATTTAAATTTAATTCACATTATAATTAAAACTTAAATTCATATTCAAATTCAAATTAAAATTCAATTTCAAATTCAAATTAAAATTCAAATTCAAATTAAAATTAAAACTTAAATTCATATTCATATTCAAATTCAAATTCAAGTTTATATTCAAATTCAATGTAAAATAAAAATTAAAATAAAATAAAAAATGAAATTGACATTATAAAGTGTTAAATAAGCTGCTGTTAAAAGGGATAAAAAATGCCTTTTTTTATAAATTTTTAATCTTTTATTTACAGGATACAAAAATATTACAGTAGCAAATCGTGCACTCACTTATGTCAGCCACTGTATATTCGCCAAAAAACGGTTAAATAATTACTTAATTCAAAGCAAAAGTACACACAATCATGTATGTATTTGTTTGTGTGTATATGTATGTGTTACATCAATATTGATGTGCTCAACTAAAAAAAAGTGTCTGCTACGTTTGCTTGCGTTTGTCACGCCTTTTAGTGGAACGCCCAATTGTCTGGCTTGCACATTTTGGCCTTCTATAGTCTACCTCTCTACGTAGATATATTTATTTTCTTTGTCTGTTTGCTGTCCTTTGAGGCTATAAAAAATTATTGATGTTCTATGCGGCCAAATGTATGATTGCCTTGCCAACAATTCATGCCTATGCCTGCCTTTGAGCAAATAAATCTCTAACCTCGGTGCGCGCAGTGATTCAGTGTCATGCAAGAGTCACGTCATTATTTCAAAAAACAAAACTCATTTTCGGCAAAGAAACAATGCGACGGTTGCCCATAAGTAAAAACAAAAGAGCTGTCATGAGTCTAAGAGACAAATAAGTGACCCAAAATCTAGAATAAGAAGCATGAAATTAGGTCAATGGTTGCGACAGCAAAGGTCCTTGAATACCAATCAATGCAAACAAAAAGCTACACGCATACAAATATTGGAAATCAAGTAGGGGAAATGATAAATTATTGTGCTGTTTAATAATTTTATTAACTTAAAAACAATACACTGTCGACCTTTGTGCTAACAACTTATAATTTACGGGTGAGTTGTTCAAGGGAATTTTCATAACTCCTGTCTGCTGGAAGAAAGATTAATTTATTTGTAGCAGATATTCTATCAATTTCTTTCACTACACCATGTTGTAAAAAAAATTTTTTTTTTTTTTGGAAAACAAAAAATGTCACACAATTCCGCAATCTCAGATGATCGTAAGCCATACCAAAGTATTGATTACATATATATTTTGCCTAATAATGATTAATTATGTAGTGAAATTTTGCAATAACCTTGCCTTCCAAGACCAGATAGAAGAAAAAGCGAAATTTTAATAAGAGAAACGTCCGCAATAACGGTTATGGCTCTTGAAAAATTAAAGTTGAAAAAAGAAATTATTTTTTAAATAATATTCTTATTTTCAACGCCGTAAAATACTCAAAAGCTCATTGCAATTTATAATTATTATTATTAATTCAAATATGCAAACACGTAAGTAAATACGTCCAAGCACTCAATACTGATGTCAACTACTTTTAATAATCAATCAGCAAAAACAGTATTATTGCGAAAATGAATTATATAATAATTCGCTTAATTAAATGCACACATGTACACACGCTATGCGCATACTGCAAAACCAAAACAGCGAGGACGTCGCCACAATAATGGGCGACAGAACACATAAAAGTGCTTCATAGAAATTAATTAACATTGCCAATGGATTTTTAATTGAAAAATAAAATTCAAATGAAAAATAATATTGATAATTAATTTAAATTGTAAAAAAAAAATGGCGTTTAAATTTTTTTTTAATAAAATAAAATAAGAATATTTTATTACACAATTAAAACTCTTAAGGAGGAAGCTGGTCTTTGACTCAACAAAGAATTCAATCGAAATGATGTGAAGTCAATTTAATTACATAGTTTAATGATACAAATAC